TGATAGTAAAACTTATGTAGGGGACACATAACTGTGGGATATGATAGTAAAACTTATGTAGGGGACACATAACTGTGGGATATGTATGTAGGGGACACATAACTGTGGGAAATGATAGTAAAACTTATGTAGGGGACACATAACTGTGGGATATGATAGGGGACACATAAAACTGTAGGGGGACACATAACTGTGGGATATGATAGTAAAACTTATGTAGGGGACACATAACTGTGGGATATGTAAAACTTATGGGGGACACATAACTGTGGGATATGATAGTAAAACTTATGTAGGGGACACATAACTGTGGGATATGTAGGGGACACATAACTGTGAGATATGATAGTAAAACTTATGTAGGGGACACATAACTGTGGGATATGTAGGGGACACATAACTGTGAGATATGATAGTAAAACTTATGTAGGGGACACATAACTGTGGGATATGTAGGACACATAACTGTGAGATATGATAGTAAAACTTATGTAGGGGACACATAACTGTGGGATATGATAGTAAAACTTATGTAGGGGACACATAACTGTGGGATATGTAGGGGACACATAACTGTGAGATATGATAGTAAAACTTATGTAGGGGACACATAACTGTGGGATATGATAGTAAAACTTATGTAGGGGACACATAACTGTGGGATATGTAGTGGGATATGTAGGGGACACATAACTGTGGGATATGATAGTAAAACTTATGGGGGACACATAACTGTGAGATATGATAGTAAAACTTATGTAGGGGACACATAACTGTGGGATATGATAGTAAAACATAACTGTGGGGACACATAACTGTGGGATATGTAGGTAGGACACATAACTGTGAGATATGATAGTAAAACTTATGTAGGGGACACATAACTGTGGGATATGATAGTAAAACTTATGTAGGGGACACATAACTGTGGATATGATAGTAAAACTTATGTAGGGGACACATAACTGTGGGATATGATAGTAAAACTTATGTAGGGGACACTAAACTATGTAGGGACACATAACTGTGAGATATGGGACACATAACTGTGAGATATGATAGTAAAACTTATGTAGGGGACACATAACTGTGGGATATGATAGTAAAACTTATGTAGGGGACACATAACTGTGGGATATGATAGTAAAACTTATGTAGGGGACACATAACTGTGGGATATGATAGTAAAACTTATGTAGGGGACACATAACTGTGGGATATGATAGTAAAACTTATGTAGGGGACACATAACTGTGGGATATGATAGTAAAACTTATGTAGGGGACACATAACTGTGAGATATGATAGTAAAACTTATGTAGGGGACACATAACTGTGGGATATGATAGTAAAACTTATGTAGGGGACACATAACTGTGGGATATGTAGGGGACACATAACTGTGAGATATGATAGTAAAACTTATGTAGGGGACACATAACTGTGGGATATGATAGTAAAACTTATGTAGGGGACACATAACTGTGGGATATGATAGTGAAAACTTATGTAGGGGACACATAACTGTATGTAGGGGACACATAACTGTGGGATATGATAGTAAAACTTATGTAGGGGACACATAACTGTGGGATATGATAGTAAAACTTATGTAGGGGACACATAACTGTGGGATATGTAGGGGACACATAACTGTGAGATATGATAGTAAAACTTACACATAACTGGGACACATAACTGTGGGATATGATAGTAAAACTTATGTAGGGGACACATAACTGTGGGATATGATAGTAAAACTTATGTAGGGGACACATAACTGTGGGATATGTAGGGGACACATAACTGTGAGATATGATAGTAAAACTTATGTAGGGGACACATAACTGTGGGATATGATAGTAAAACTTATGTAGGGGACACATAACTGTGGGATATGATAGTAAAACTTATGTAGGGGACACATAACTGTGGGATATGATAGTAAAACTTATGTAGGGGACACATAACTGTGGGATGTGATAGTAAAACTTATGTAGGGGACACATAACTGTGGGATATGATAGTAAAACTTATGTAGGGGACACATAACTGTGGGATATGATAGTAAAACTTATGTAGGGGACACATAACTGTGGGATATGATCGTAAAACTTATGTAGGGGACACATAACTGTGGGATATGATAGTAAAACTTATGTAGGGGACACATAACTGTGGGATATGATAGTAAAACTTATGTAGGGGACACATAACTGTGGGATATGATAGTAAAACTTATGTAGGGGACACGTAACTGTGGGATATGATAGTAAAACTTATGTAGGGGACACATAACTGTGGGATATGATAGTAAAACTTATGTAGGGGACACATAACTGTGGGATATGATAGTAAAACTTATGTAGGGGACACATAACTGTGGGATATGTAGGGGAAACATAACTGTGAGATATGATAGTAAAACTTATGTAGGGGACACATAACTGTGGGATATGATAGTAAAACTTATGTAGGGGACACATAACTGTGGGATATGATAGTAAAACTTATGGAGGGGACACATAACTGTGGGATATGTAGGGGACACATAACTGTGAGATATGATAGTAAAACTTATGTAGGGGACACATAACTGTGGGATATGTAGGGGACACATAACTGTGGGATACATGATAGTAAAACTATGTAGGGGACACATAACTGTGGGATATGATAGTAAAACTTATGTAGGGGACACATAACTGTGGGATATGTAGGGGACACATAACTGTGGGATATGATAGTAAAACTTATGTAGGGGACACATAACTGTGGGATATGTAGGGGACACATATGTAGGGACACATAACTGTGGGACTTATGTAGGGGACACATAACTGTGGGATATGATAGTTAAACTTATGTAGGGGACACATAACTGTGGGATATGTAGGGGACACATAACTGTGGGATATGTAGGGGACACATAACTGTGAGATATGATAGTAAAACTTATGTAGGGGACACATAACTGTGAGATATGATAGTAAAACTTATGTAGGGGACACATAACTGTGGGATATGTAGGGGACACATAACTGTGGGATATGATAGTAAAACTTATGTAGGGGACACATAACTGTGGGATATGATAGTTAAACTTATGTAGGGGACACATAACTGTGGGATATGTAGGGGACACATAACTGTGAGATATGATAGTAAAACTTATGTAGGGGACACATAACTGTGGGATATGATTGGTTGGACACATAACTGTGAGATATGATAGTAAAACTTATGTAGGGGACACATAACTGTGGGATATGATAGTAAAACTTATGTAGGGGACACATAACTGTGGGATATGATAGTAAAACATATGTAGGACACATAACTGTGGGATATGATAGTAAAACTTATGTAGGTGACACTTATCTGTGGGATATGATAGTATAACTTATGTAGGGGACACATAACTGTGAGATATGATAGTAAAACTTATGTACACATAACTGGGGACACATAACTGTGGGATATGATAGTAAAACTTATGTAGGGGACACATAACTGTGGGATATGATAGTAAAACTTATGTAGGGGACACATAACTGTGGGATATGATTATAAAACTTATGTAGGGGACACATAACTGTGGGATATGAGAAAACTAGTAACACATAACTGTGGGATATGTAGGGGACACATAACTGTGGGATATGATAGTAAAACTTATGTAGGGGACACATAACTGTGGGATATGATAGTAAAACTTATGTAGGGGACACATAACTGTGGGATATGTAGGGGACACATAACTGTGAGATATGATAGTAAAACTTATGTAGGGGACACATAACTGTGGGATATGATAGTAAAACTTATGGGGACACATAACTGTGGGATATGATAGTAAAACTTATGTAGGGGACACATAACTGTGGGATATGATTATAAAACTTATGTAGGGGACACATAACTGTGGGATATGTAGGGGACACATAACTGTGGGATATGATAGTAAAACTAACTGTGAGATATGATAGTAAAACTTATGTAGGGGACACATAACTGTGGGATATGTAGGGGACACATAACTGTGAGATATGATAGTAAAACTTATGTAGGGGACACATAACTGTGGGATATGTAGGGGACACATAACTGTGGGATATGTAAAACAAATGGGGACACAGAACTGTATACACATAACTGTGAGATATGATAGTAAAACTTATGTAGGGGACACATAACTGTGGGATATGTAGGGGACACATAACTGTGAGATATGATAGTAAAACTTATGTAGGGGACACATAACTGTGGGATATGTAGGGGACACATAACTGTGGGATATGTAGGGGACACATAACTGTGGGATATGTAGGGGACACATAACTGTGGGATATGTAGGGGACACATAACTGTGGGATATGATAGTAAAACTTATGTAGGGGACACATAACTGGGGGATATGATAGTAAAACTTATGTAGGGGACACATAACTGTGGGATATGATAGTAAAACTTATGTAGGGGACACATAACTGTGGGATATGTAGGGGACACATAACTGTGAGATATGTAGGGGACACATAACTGTGGGATAGGTAGGGGACACATAACTGTGAGATATGAAACTTATGTAGGGGACACATAACTGTGGGATATGATCGTAAAACTTATGTAGGGGACACATAACTGTGGGATATGTAGGGGACACATAACTGTGGGATATGATAGTAAAACTTATGTAGGGGACACATAACTGTGGGATATGTAGGGGACACATAACTGTGGGATATGATAGTACACATAACTGTGGTAGATAGTAAAACTTAGGGGGGACACATAACTGTGGGATATGTAGGGGACACATAACTGTGAGATATGATAGTAAAACTTATGTAGGGGACACATAACTGTGGGATATGTAGGGGACACATAACTGTGGGATATGATAGTAAAACTTATGTAGGGGACACATAACTGTGGGATATGTAGGGGACACATAACTGTGAGATATGATAGTAAAACTTATGTAGGGGACACATAACTGTGAGATATGATAGTAAAACTTACGTGGGGAACATGTAACCATTGGATATCACTTCCTGACATTTACAAGTGTACACAACGTCTGGTTTCTTTAGCCAAGTCTCCAAACTTATTGTTTCTTTTCTCTCGTCATCTGATGAACTCACTGTTTGGTCTTCGGCTGAAACAAAAGCAATGAAGCCATCAAACTCTGAAAATACAGTGTAATTAGATTTCGACCATACATTTGAAATTTCACCAATCAGGAAACAGATGTGACAGTTTGTAGTGTCTTATTATCATTCAACAATGTTTTACTTTGTTCAGTAAGATTATCAGAAAATACAGCAGCAATGTAGATAATTCATTATTGGAAAAATAGACCAACAGTTCCGATATTTGTGATTCAAATAAATGAATGTGTATTTTACGTCTGATAAAAAAAAACTTACCATCATCATCGTCTATAGAAAAAACATTTTCCATGTTCCGGTATCGCTTACCAACTCTGTCAGTATCACTGACATGTCTATAAATAAAATAAGTCTTATATAAGAATATGTCACTGACATGTCTATAAATAGAATCAGTCTTATGTAAGAATATGTCACTGACATGTCTATAAATAGAATCAGTCTTATGTAAGATTATGTCACTGATATGTCTATAAATAGAATAAGTCTTATGTAAGATTATGTCACGGACATGTCTATAAATAGAATAAGTCTTATGTAAGATTATGTCACTGACATGTCTATAAATAGAATCAGTCTTATGTAAGAATATGGAGAAACACAACAAGACTTGTATTGTATACAGGTTTAAGTCAATGACAGGTGTAACAGAACAGGGGATATCAGGGAAAGAGTTCCTTTTGAACCCTCCACCCAAAATGACTACCAGTAGGCTATAATAAGTATCTAAAAGGGTTTATTCTAAGTGGTACCAAGAAAAATTGAGGCATGGTCTTTTTGGGGTTAAAATCAATATTAAAAAAATGAAAAAAAAAAAATATAAAAAGAATATACTTGTATCAGGTATAATAACCCATAAGTAGCCACTTTGGGTGGGGGGTTCAAAAGGAACTCTTACCAATATCAGCTACATTCCTGCCTGGTACCAATACAGACGCCAAACCCAGGTCTCCAGCTTAATAACGCATGGTCTACAAATCTGGTATTTAACATGGTACAATGTACAGACTTTCAGCATGTAAAAGATCTTTTACATCAGTTTCCATTGTGACAAGATGAACCAATACTCCCACTATGAACTTCAGAGTGAGTAGTAGTTTAGGGCCCCACAGAACCCAGGTTTTTTTCATTTCTCTGAAGACTCACCTCACTGGTAACTGGTGTTCGTTTTTGATGTAGTCTGTGAGTTTCTGCTTCATCACAATACTTTTATTCTTCACTACACTGGTAAGTTTTCCAAATAATGATCCCTCCCCACCGTCATTCTGGAAAGAAAATATACATGATTTTTTGTCATCTCAAAGATGATAAAACATGCAGAAGTGTTTAATGTAATTTGGACACTGAATCCAATAGAGCCAATCTTATCAAACACTTCCTGGTTACTGTGTAATTAATAGATTTCATGGGGGAGTCATTTTAATTGATTTCGTGGATAATCTTAACTCCTACTGATTCACACGTCCACAAACTGTCACAATAAGTACATTTCTAAAGCTATATTAATCCACAAATTCAAATATTGACAAAAAATGACTTTTTGAAAAATCACAAAAATTGAACCCAATCAAAACCAGAATCCACCTGACAATAAATGAGAATTAATATCACTCAGAACATTCAACTTTATCAGGAATACTGACGATAACGGAAGGATTTTCCTCCCAAATATTGATGATAACGGAAGGCTTTTCTTCCCAAGTATCGCTGACACATTCAAAATAATAATGATCAACTAGAGTTGAGATTTCTCTGACCTATTTTCACCTCTGTAATAGTGTAATATACATTTATATACATTAAGAATATCCCTATTAATTTCAACTCCTAAAATCCGTAAAGACCCTTAAAATGGCTTCGCAGCAGTAGGTACTCTATAAATATATGCGAGTCTATTTTCATTTTGATGAATCTATGATCATCAATTGGTCAGTGGTCATACTTGTAGGTGTGTTCCCATTGTTCCACTAAGTACTGATCTCTGGAACTGTTTGTACAAATACACCTACAGCCACTTCTTATCTACAGTTTTATTTCATACCTTAGCAATAAAGCTGAGCTGGACACATTTTGGATACAAGAAACTGAAAGTTGAGCATAATACAGCATACAATGAGTGATACACTGAAAAGTTTGATACAGACAGTAGTCTGTGTGATCCTTCCACAAACAGTACAGTATACTAGATTGTTTTTATGTAAGGGACTGAAACAAATAACCTGGCCTACAACCCGACTGAGGCTGGACTGCAGAATTTAAGGGGTCAGCCGTACCTGTCTGAAATCTGATTGAAAGTTATCAGTTTTCAGAATTTCTGCATCAAACAAGGCTGTTGTATGCATATATTTCTTGAGAAACAGTAAAACCTCGCTAAGCTCTACTGGACCATGTCAATAATTTGAGGAATACAGGATATCCTTGTAATCAGAGATTGGTCACGCATCATCCGGTACCGACCATCCGAAGGATGTATTCAACATATAATTCTCTGACAAATCAAATACATGATTGACCTATAACTTCAACTTGTCTAGGATTTTGATGGAGAGAAATATGACAAAATTTTAATTTACACCACACTTAAAAATGGAATAGTCTTGACATGAATAGACTTTTTTGTGTTCGTAAATATACCATTAATCTGTTATTGATATCCTCCACTTAAACAATCCAGAAAGTTTTTAATTCACATGGAGAATGGTCTTCATCCATATTCTCGTTTTTGATTTCTGAACATTATACAATTTCAAAATAATATATATCAGAAATGGCATCCATTCCATGATTTTCTGTATGTACACACGAGAGTGATCAGAACCATTACACTAAAGTTGGACATGACCATGCATAATACAATTTGATTTTGGTGCGACACCTTGTTGATGATAAGGAGAGAGAAAATGATGAACAAATGATGGGGATAAAAAATAAGTTCAAGGAATGCGGGGTTTCTCGAAGGATAACAGGTCAAGAAATTCGAGGTTAAATAACAAGAAATATATACGGTCATGGTTGGGACCATACGATCAGTTTGACGAATACCGAGTTTTCAAGGAATACCAGGTCCAGTACCTAGTTTACTGTGTGGAATTCTGTTCAAAATAGTAGATATTTTATTATTGGGACACTGTTTAATATTTGACAAGAAATTCAGAAAATGTGTATTTTGAACTTTATATAAAACATTTTCAACATCCCGTTATAGTTCATTTAACGTGAAAGATTATCTCCCCCTGGACCGTTTCAGAAAAGTTTTGCTAAAGTAACTCTGTATATCAACACATAACCCAATCAGAGAGAACTTATCATTAGCTTTATCGGTCGAGACTAGTAAGCCAAAGGTGTCGGGTTCAAATCCCAGTGGCGGCATCGACAGTAAACTTTATTTGATGTAGAATCTGCATGAGGAGATATGTCATGACATACTGACTTGTATAATAACACCTTAACACTGTGTGTTACATCACTTGTAAAATATTACCTTAACACTGTTTGTGAAATCTTCCCCATTTTCCACATCACTTGTAAAATATTACCTTAACACTGTTTGTGAAATCTTCCCCATTTTCCACATCACTTGTAAAATATTACCTTAACACTGCTTGTGAAATCTTCCCCATTTTCCACATCACTTGTTCTGTATTACCTTAACACTGCTTGTGAAATCTTCCCCATTTTCCACATCACTTGTTCTGTATTACCTTAACACTGCTTGTGAAATCTTCCCCATTTTCCACATCACTTGTTCTGTATTACCTTAACACTGTGTGAAATCTTCCCCATTTTCCACATCACTTGTTCTGTATTACCTTAACACTGCTTGTGAAATCTTCCCCATTTTCCACATCACTTGTTCTGTATTACCTTAACACTGCTTGTGAAATCTTCCCCATTTTCCACATCACTTGTTCTGTATTACCTTAACACTGCTTGTGAAATCTTCCCCATTATCCACATCACTTGTTCTGTATTACCTTAACACTGTGTGAAATCTTCCCCATTTTCCACATCACTTGTTCTGTATTACCTTAACACTGTGTGAAATCTTCCCCATTTTCCACATCACTTGTTCTGTATTACCTTAACACTGCTTGTGAAATCTTCCCCATTATCCACATCACTTGTTCTGTATTACCTTAACACTGTGTGAAATCTTCCCCAACAAGGTCTGCTGTGAAATTTTCCACATCACTTGTTCTGTATTACCTTAACACTGTGTGAAATCTTCCCCATTATAAAATTTACCTCTGTAGTCTCTCTACTCTTAAAACTGTAAAATTTACCTCTGTAGTCTCTCAGTTAACAGTATAAAATTTACCTCTGTAGTCTCTCTAGACTAATTAACAGTATAAAATTTACCTCTGTAGTCTCTCCAGACTGTACTGATTAACAGTATAAAATTTACCTCTGTAGTCTCTCCAGACTGTACTGATTAACAGTATAAAATTTACCTCTGTAGTCTCTCCAGTATAAAATTTACCTCTGTAGTCTCTCCAGACTGTACTGATTAACAGTATAAAATTTACCTCTGTAGTCTCTCTAGACTGATTAACAGTATAAAATTTACCTCTGTAGTCTCTCCAGACTGTACTGATTAACAGTATAAAATTTACCTCTGTAGTCTCTCTAGACTGATTAACAGTATAAAATTTACCTCTGTAGTCTCTCTAGACTGTACTGTATAAAATTTACCTCTGTAGTCTCTCTAGACTGTACTGATTAACAGTATAAAATTTACCTCTGTATAAATAAAATTTACCTCTGTAGTCTCTCTAGACTGTACTAATTAACAGTATAAAATTTACCTCTGTAGTCTCTCCAGACTGTACTGATTAACAGTATAAAATTTACCTCTGTAGTCTCTCCAGACTGTACTAATTAACAGTATAAAATTTACCTCTGTAGTCTCTCTAGACTGTACTAATTAACAGTATAAAATTTACCTCTGTAGTCTCTCCAGACTGTATAAAATTTACCTCTGTAGTCTCTCCAGAACTGTTAACAGTAAAATTTACCTCTGTAGTCTCTCTAGACTGTACTGATTAACAGTATAAAATTTACCTCTGTAGTCTATCCAGACTGTACTGATTAACAGTATAAAATTTACCTCTGTAGTCTCTCTAGACTAATTAACACTGATTAACAGTATAAAATTTACCTCTGTAGTCTCTCCAGACTGTACTGATTAACAGTATAAAATTTACCTCTGTAGTCTCTCTAGACTGTACTGATTAACAGTATAAAATTTACCTCTGTAGTCTCTCTAGACTGTACTGATTAACAGTATAAAATTTACCTCTGTAGTCTCTCTAGACTGTACTGATTAACAGTATAAAATTTACCTCTGTAGTCTCTCTAGACTGTACTGATTAACAGTATAAAATTTACCTCTGTAGTCTCTCCAGACTGTACTTATTAACAGTATAAAATTTACCTCTGTAGTCTCTCTAGACTGTACTAATTAACAGTATAAAATTTACCTCTGTAGTCTCTCTAGACTGTACTGATTAACAGTATAAAATTTACCTCTGTAGTCTCTCCAGACTGTACTGATTAACAGTATAAAATTTACCTCTGTAGTCTCTCTAGACTGTACTAATTAACAGTATAAAATTTACCTCTGTAGTCTCTCTAGACTGTACTAATTAACAGTATAAAATTTACCTCTGTAGTCTCTCCAGACTGTACTGATTAACAGTATAAAATTTACCTCTGTAGTCTCTCTAGACTGTACTTTAACAGTATAAAATTTACCTCTGTAGTCTCTCTAGACTGTACTGATTAACAGTATAAAATTTACCTCTGTAGTCTCTCTAGACTGTACTGATTAACAGTATAAAATTTACCTCTGTAGTCTCTCCAGACTGTACTAATTAACAGTATAAAATTTACCTCTGTAGTCTCTCCAGACTGTACTAATTAACAGTATAAAATTTACCTCTGTAGTCTCTCTAGACTGTACTGATTAACAGTATAAAATTTACCTCTGTAGTCTCTCTAGACTAATTAACAGTATAAAATTTACCTCTGTAGTCTCTCTAGACTGTACTGATTAACAGTATAAAATTTACCTCTGTAGTCTCTCTAGACTGTACTGATTAACAGTATAAAATTTACCTCTGTAGTCTCTCCAGGCTGTACTGATTAACAGTATAAAATTTACCTCTGTAGTCTCTCTAGACTAATTAACAGTATAAAATTTACCTCTGTAGTCTCTCCAGACTGTACTGATTAACAGTATAAAATTTACCTCTGTAGTCTCTCTAGACTGTACTAATTAACAGTATAAAATTTACCTCTGTAGTCTCTCTAGACTGTACTGATTAACAGTATAAAATTTACCTCTGTAGTCTCTCTAGACTGATTAACAGTATAAAATTTACCTCTGTAGTCTCTCTAGACTGTACTAATTAACAGTATAAAATTTACCTCTGTAGTCTCTCCAGACTGTACTGATTAACAGTATAAAATTTACCTCTGTAGTCTCTCTAGACTGTACTCTCTCTAGACTGTATTAAAATTTAACTCTCTAGTATAAAATTAAAATTTACCTCTGTAGTCTCTCTAGACTGTACTGATTAACAGTATAAAATTTACCTCTGTAGTCTCTCTAGACTGTACTGATTAACAGTATAAAATTTACCTCTGTAGTCTCTCTAGACTGTACTGATTAACAGTATAAAATTTACCTCTGTAGTCTCTCTAGACTGTACTAATTAACAGTATAAAATTTACCTCTGTAGTCTCTCCAGGCTGTACTGATTAACAGTATAAAATTTACCTCTGTAGTCTCTCCAGGCTGTACTGATTAACAGTATAAAATTTACCTCTGTAGTCTCTCTAGACTGTACTGATTAACAGTATAAAATTTACCTCTGTAGTCTCTCTAGACTGTACTGATTAACAGTATAAAATTTACCTCTGTAGTCTCTCTAGACTGTACTGATTAACAGTATAAAATTTACCTCTGTAGTCTCTCTAGACTGTACTGATTAACAGTATAAAATTTACCTCTGTAGTCTCTCTAGACTGTACTGATTAACAGTATAAAATTTACCTCTGTAGTCTCTCTAGACTGTACTGATTAACAGTATAAAATTTACCTCTGTAGTCTCTCTAGACTGTACTGATTAACAGTATAAAATTTACCTCTGTAGTCTCTCTAGACTGTACTGATTAACAGTATAAAATTTACCTCTGTAGTCTCTCTAGACTGTACTGATTAACAGTATAAAATTTACCTCTGTAGTCTCTCTAGACTGTACTGATTAACAGTATAAAATTTACCTCTGTAGTCTCTCTAGACTGTACTGATTAACAGTATAAAATTTACCTCTGTAGTCTCTCTAGACTGTACTGATTAACAGTATAAAATTTACCTCTGTAGTCTCTCTAGACTGTACTGATTAACAGTATAAAATTTACCTCTGTAGTCTCTCTAGACTGTACTGATTAACAGTATAAAATTTACCTCTGTAGTCTCTCTAGACTGTACTGATTAACAGTATAAAATTTACCTCTGTAGTCTCTCTAGACTGTACTGATTAACAGTATAAAATTTACCTCTGTAGTCTCTCCAGGCTGTACTGATTAACAGTATAAAATTTACCTCTGTAGTCTCTCTAGACTGATTAACAGTATAAAATTTACCTCTGTAGTCTCTCTAGACTGATTAACAGTATAAAATTTACCTCTGTAGTCTCTCTAGACTGTACTGATTAACAGTATAAAATTTACCTCTGGTCTGTCTCTGTAGACTGTACTGATTAACTATCCTCTGTAGTCTCTCTAGACTGTACTTATTAACAGTATAAAATTTACCTCTGTAGTCTCTCTAGACTGTACTGATTAACAGTATAAAATTTACCTCTGTAGTCTCTCTAGACTGTACTGATTAACAGTATAAAATTTACCTCTGTAGTCTCTCTAGACTGTACTAATTAACAGTATAAAATTTACCTCTGTAGTCTCTCTAGACTGTACTGATTAACAGTATAAAATTTACCTCTGTAGTCTCTCTAGACTGTACTGATTAACAGTATAAAATTTACCTCTGTAGTCTCTCCAGGCTGTACTGATTAACAGTATAAAATTTACCTCTGTAGTCTCTCCAGACTGTACTGATTAACAGTATAAAATTTACCTCTGTAGTCTCTCTAGACTGTACTGATTAACAGTATAAAATTTACCGGTGTAGTCTCTCCAGACTGTACTGATTAACAGTATAAAATTTACCTCTGTAGTCTCTCCAGACTGTACTAAATAACAGTATAAAATGTACCACAGAAGACACTCCAGGCTGGACTAATTAACAGTATAACATTTACCTTTCACACAGGAGTAATAACAACAAGTATAGTGTCGTATGTTACCATAATATAGCCTGTTTCATAAAAGTCAATTACACTACAATTTCAGACAGTGAGAGCTGGGTTATAACACTACAATTTCATGGTGTATTATGTTACTATAATATCGCCTTTTTCATAAAAGTTTATTACACAACAATTTCAGACAGGAATAATTAAAACAAGTATGGTGTATTATGTTACTATGATATAGTCTGTTTCATAAAAGTCAATTACACTACAATTTAAGAAAAGAATAATACATAACAAATATACCACAGTTAGTTACTTTAATATAGTCCGTTTTATGAAAAATTATATCACTACAACTTAAGACAGGGATAATACAAAACAAATATAGTATCAAGTTACTATCAGAACACTGACAGGTCAGCAAGCCCCTCCCCCACCACCTCTATGTGGGTGGAAGTAACCCTCTCCCCATCTCACAACCCACTGTCTAGACAAAAGCCCCAGAAGGAATTTTTTCTGGCCAAAGCAAATGTGAGATATGCAGGGAAACTGATTTTTCTATTTATAATGACATTGACCTTGACTATTGACCTTTGAAGCTGAAAAAGACATCTTGAAGCATTGTATGATGTCCAACTTTGATTGGCTAATTGATTTTTCTATTTAGAATAACAACAACCTTGATCTTTAACATTTAAAAGTGTAAAGCAATCCTCAGCAAACACTTTCAGTAAGGAAGTACTGTATGAAGTTTGAGTTAGATTGGTCGAAGCAAACTCTAGTTTTCACAAGGAAACTTATTTTCTATTTATTTTTAGTAACAGTGACCTTGACCTTTGAACTTTGCATTCCCATGCAAGCACTTTCAATAAGGAAGCACTGTATGAAGTTTAAGCTTTAATGGCCTAAAAAAAACTCAAGCAAGGAAACAATAGTACAGACGGACAGAGAGGCAGACAGGCAGACAAACAGACTTGTAGACACTATGATTACTATAGGGCATCCACACTATTGTGCAGGACCCTAATAATATGGTCTGTTTCATAGAAGTTGATTAACACGAAGTTGTTTCGATTGGAAAGTCAAGACAGTCAGTAGCCAGGAAAAACTTGGTTCACTGTTCATTTCTGTGTTGACAATATATACATATCAAGAAAAAAGACATTTATTTGACTAAGTAAACAACGAAATGTGTTAATGTCAAAATGTGTAATCATATCTCCACTGATGGTATTGGTTGAAAAAAAGGGTTGAACACAATAAAAACATGCACTTAGCCTGTCTCTTCTCATAATAAAACTAAATCTCAAATTTCAGTATACTGGTAGTAACTGATAATTTCTTGAACTGTTTAAATTCTATACAAATAACTCTGGAAAAGTGGAGTTGACTGGGTTGAAATAACTTTTCTGAATCTTCTCTACAACGTAATACCAAATCTGAAATCAATATCTCCCTGCATCAAAGAATAAATAAGTTGACACGAGATTGTGACTGAATGACGATAGGACAACACTATAACCACCAGCTATGCTATGAAGTTCTGAACTGAAATTGAACTATTGTTACCATATTGTACTATTTTAACATGTATAATGCAAAATAACCTACTAGACAAGATGGCCTGTTGTTGGGCGGCCAGCAATGCCTGCACAGCTGTGTTGAACTCCACTGGGTTTTGTAACATCTGAAACAGACAATAGTGTTATCAATTTCACATCTGAAACAGACAATAGTGTTATCAATTTCAGAGACTTTCCTTCTACCTAAAATACAACTTGAAAACTCTATATCAACTTGTCATTAACAGATCAATGTTAACTTTGTCATCTCTGCAGAGTTCTTTTTTCGCTCAGATTTTGTCTTCGTTTTACTGAATTTGAGTGAGACTCCATTGACATATCAGTATTTTCTTTTTGTTGTTTTAGGTTTATCAAACCAGTATGGTTTTAAGTCTAAGGATTTCTACATGTGCTTACAAGGTCTGCGTCTAGGTGGAAGGCCGTGGGAAGGTGTCCACGGTTGTACTGTTCTGCAGGTCTACAGTCCACAATGAAGTACCTCACTGCATCTCCACTCTGTAAAAGTCGGGTTTTATTAGTCATAACATTTATAATACACTAACATAAGACATCTGTAATTACAACAAGTCCTCTTTATTGAAAAAATTCCAGACATACTAAAATTCTACAGGAATATCACAGTTTTACTCTCATACTTACAGAAACAACTGTAACATATACATAGTCTGTAGTCGAGAGAAAAAATCAATGTATCAAGATAATAACAAAATGAGAAATCTTTAAAATACATCAATCACATGTGAAATTCTGATCCTTAGAAAAAAACTGTGATGCAAAATTAATATCATGTTGGTTTAAACATATTCAATGTTATGACAAACCTACACTCAAATTAAAGCACTTCAAGGAAACTTGAGCCAAAATTACACAGGCCTATATACCAAATAGAATTACTCACTAAAGATTTGTTAGCCTGTAACAGTTCTGCCACTGATACAGGTAAACAAAGAGCCTGAGAAACCTGGACTCCAAACGCTTCACTGACTGGGATCATACTTGTGCCAAAAAGTGGTCCTTGGTAATCCTGTTGAGAAAACAATTATATTTATAGAGTGATTATGTCCCTGCTACATTATATGTATAGAGTGATTACGTCCCTGCTACGTTATATGTATAGAGTGATTATGTCTCTGCTACATTATGTGTATAGAGTGATTATGTCCCTGCTACATTATATGTATAGAGTGATTACGTCCCTGCTACATTATATGTATAGTGATTATGTCCCTGCTACATTATATGTACAGAGTGATTATGTCCCCGCTACATTATATGTATAGAGTGATTACGTCCCTGCTAATATGTATAGTGATTACGTCCCTGATACATTATATGTATAGAGTGATCACGTCCCTGCTAATATGTATAGAGTGATTATGTCCCTGCTACATTATATGTATAGAGTGATTATGTCCCTGCTACATTATATGTATAGAGTGATTATGTCCCTGCTACATTATATGTATAGTGATTATGTCCCTGCTACATTATATGTATAGAGTGATTACGTCCCTGCTACATTATATGTATAGAGTGATTAGGTCCCTGCTACATTATATGTATAGAGTGATTATGTCCCTGCTACATTATATGTATAGAGTGATTACGACGTCCCTGCTACGTTATATGTATAGAGTGATTACGTCCCTGCTACGTTATATGTATAGAGTGATTACGTCCCTGCTACGTTATATGTATAGAGTGATTACGTCCCTGCTACGTTATATGTATAGAGTGATTACGTCCCTGCTACGTTATATGTATAGAGTGATTAGGTCCCTGCTACATTATATGTATAGAGTGATTATGTCCCTGCTACATTATATGTATAGAGTGATTAGGTCCCTGCTACATTATATGTATAGAGTGATTATGTCCCTGCTACATTATATGTATAGAGTTATTACCTCCCTGCTAATATGTATAGTGATTATGTCCCTGCTACATTATATGTATAGAGTGATTATGTCCCTGCTACATTATATGTATAGAGTGATTATGTCCCTGCTACATTATATGTATAGAGTGATTATGTCCCTGCTACATTATATGTATAGAGTGATTATGTCCCTGCTACATTATATGTATAGAGTGATTAGGTCCCTGCTACATTATATGTATAGAGTGATTATGTCCCTGCTACATTATATGTATAGAGTGATTACGTCCCTGCTACGTTATATGTATAGAGTGATTACGTCCCTGCTAATATGTATAGTGATTATGTCCCTGCTACATTATATGTATAGAGTGATTACGTCCCTGCTACGTTATATGTATATGAGTAATGTAACACTGGTTCACAGGTGTTTTTTCAATTATGTGTAATATAATAATGCAAACTTTTTATCATTTTTTTCTTTCATCTTGCAAATTTCATGATGAAAACAAATTTCCGAAGAGTATCATGACAAATTCAGACAGAGATGATACGATGATTGCAGTATGATATGCTCTACACAGGAAAAATTATCTGAGTGAAACTGTCCCTTTTAAAGAGGTCTGTTTCCAAAATATTTATACTATTGTAATGCGGAAAGTCAGTAGCCATGAAATATATTGGTTCTAAAGATCATTTAGCTACAGACATTAATAAGTTAACTGTGGTCTTTAAGGCTGTAACAGTGCAAGTTCTTGTCACACAAATGTTCCACACATCAATAACACACGTAATACATTGTCTTACTATACAACGATTTCTGTTCTTTTTGTTTAATGAATACATAACAAGTAGTTATTATTATTCTCTTTATTTCCTCCAATTCGGAAGATTTACATAAACAGAATAATACGTACATATATAACATAAGTTAGATAGGAGCGGGACACAATAACCGCAATGTTTAGTAGAATACAATTGTACAAATCATAATAGTGAAATAATAGCACAAAATTGTTACAATTTTTTTCCTCGCGACATTATATAGAGTGTTATACAACAAGATATCACTGCTGACGTAACATACACATGGAGTTATTTCCCTTTTATCAATAGTTTTGGGGAGTAAATGTAGAAGTCATAATAAATCATAAAGAATTAATTAATGACAATAATTTCTAGTTAAGAAATACGACATGTACCCTCTGGAAGGACTGTGGTGTTTTGGAGCGAGAGGGATGACAAAGAATTAATTAATGACAATTATTTCTAGATAGAAATCTGAAACCTACCCTGCGGAATGACTGTGGTGTTTTAGAGGCATAGTACTGGGCGAGAGAGCAGAAATCTTCAATGTCTTCGGCTTCCAGTCCTCCAGGAAATGTTGTCAACATTTCTAGAAAACAACCACTTTTTTTCAGTAAATTTCATTAAGGGGACAATTTGCTGTCTTTTTTTCTGCCTGCATATATCATCATAGAAGTAATCAAACTTTTAAAAAATACATACTGTTAATATTTTACCCAATATGATTTTCTGTAGAGGATATCCAGTTTCTCACTCTATTTTGTGTACAGAACCTGCATCACCTGTATGGTGACTAACTGCAGTAGGTTTGGAATCAATTACATCGATTTTGAGCAACTTTCTAATTAATGGTTATATAAATAGTTTCAGATACAATTTTTTATCAATTATTGATGAACCAAGGGGGATAAATGTCTTCTTTCTCAGTTCTTGCTAAAATCTATCACTATGCCTCTCTTTCCTGTGTCATTTCATTTATAAAAAACCTTGAATGCAGCATTTAAAACATCTCTTATCTACTCTTGTATTTGTATGTAATCTCTGTATTCTGATTATTTTTACTTTCTTCTTACTTAGATGATTGTTTGGAGGTCTGCACCAAAAAAAAAAAAAAAAAAAACCATCATTCATCCTTTCTTGAAGACAAGATGATCAGTTTTACATCAATTCATAGATTTTATTTCTTTTTTAAGTAATCTCCCTTAAAATCACTTATTCATTTTCATAATCAATTGTCTCCATAAACCAGACAGAAAGTAATCAGTCTTGATTAGAATCAATTTAACACTAAAGAAACCATGTCACTCACCTATCAGATTCTGTTTGCTCTCTCCTTCACTTGATATCAGTTGGTCCCTGCAACAAAATCCTCATAGAAATCACTCAGTTCTAATTAAAAACATTAAAGTTGAACTTTGTTATCTTGAACTCGTGTATTATGAACACTTTTTTATTTGAAGCATTTCGTTCCTAAAACAAATCCTCACACAAATCACACAGGTCTACTTTATAATATAAAGTTGAACTTTGTTATCTTGAACTCATGTAGCATTGTCGGTCCCTGCTGAACTTTACACAAAATTCAAACTCACTAAAATCGACCGCTCAGTTAGGTTCAAGTTTTTCAATGGCCAAGTCGAGTTTGAGGTCAACAAGGTTCTTATGTATTAATTAAAAAATGTAAAACACATCCGACTTTGGTAAGTTACATCATGAAAATGTCATATAATGGTAAATATTATGAATGACAGGCTTGGGTTATTAAAACAAGACACTTTTCTCACCTAAATATGTAATTCAAAGTTATTCATTTAAAAAAATTTTTTATTCATTTTTTTCTTCATAATCACATACATCTAGATTTCAATTACATGATTACTATACTGTATTTCGTTCTACAACACAATATTAATTATAATTTTATATTATTAACGTATGACTATCCATTTTCTACATAAATCTAAAGACCAATATCATATACTATAGTGTCTGTTATTATTGTAGGGATATTTTTATATTTTATTATACATTAACAGGATTGTTGAAAATGAACATGTGAAACAACGAGAAACAAGTGTATTAGAGCTCCAGATCTGCAAATCATTGAAATATAACTCAATTGTTTTTTACAGAAAATTTTGACCAATGAAAATGAACAACTGACAAGTTTGTATACAACTTTTTAAAGATTTCAGTTTTAAGTAAAAACAGTCTTGCTCTTAAAACTTATCATTATGAATATTATAGACTTCAATGTGTTAATCAATACAGGTAAGTTGTACCTATTTACTCCCTGTGTTTACCTATACAGGTAAGTTGTACCTATTTACTCCCTGTGTTTACCTATACAGGTAAGCTGTACCTATTTACTCCCTGTGTTTACCTATACAAGTAAGTTGTACCTATTTACTCCCTGTGTTTACCTATACAAGTAAGTTGTACCTATTTACTCCCTGTGTTTACCTATACAGGTAAGCTGTACCTATTTACTCCCTGTGTTTACCTATACCGGTAAGCTGTACCTGTTTACTCCCTGTGTTTTCATATTTACTCCCTGTGTTTACCTATACAGGTAAGCTGCACCTATTTACTCCCTGTGTTTACCTATACAGGTAAGCTGTACCTATTTACTCCATGTGTTTACCCATACAGGTAAGCTGTACCTATTTACTCCCTGTGTTTACCTATACAGGTAAGCTGTACCTATTTACTCCCTGTGTTTACCTTGCATTGACGAGAATGACGAGCGCCATGAAGAAGACTAAGAAGGGATCACCGTGCTGGAAATACACATCCCACATGTACTTGATGACCTGAAGGTCACACGTGGCAGCAAATAAGCTACGGAACTGAAACACAATTAAAAGATAGAAATAACACAACAATTAAAGAGTTCTGTTACAACTGTCAGTATTTTTAACAATATTGTTAGGACGTCTGTGATGACAATTTATAAAGATGAAGTAAGAACACTCCTTCATGTAATACAAAGTGTAACAGGACAGGTCAGTCTGTGACAGGAAAAAAACTTACAAATTAAAGAATTGCTACATTCAAGGTAGACGATAAACCTGATTAATCAGAATGTCTTTATATCATTTCCCGTACCCAGGTCTGTGCGTAGGTGTCTGGCGTGATTTTCTTTGTATCTAGAAAGGAACAGAGTTCTGGGTCATGATACTGTAACAGCAGGCGGAACAAATGGAACGGCTTTCCATTCTTCTTACAGTCTCTGAAATGGATAGAACATAATACTTGTGAATATAGGAATTTACTATACATCTACCTGGTGATATATAAGCACTGTTATAATGGTAATATGTAGAATAATCATAGTACTTCAATCATTACTAAAAATATCCTTCTGATCAGCGAAACCCAGGGCTAACGAAATCAGGAGATATATCTTACTGGGGATGTATCATACCCAGGAATACATCTTACTGGTGATGTATCATACCCAGGGATACATCTTACTGGGGATGTATCTTACCCAGGAATACATCTCACTGGGGATGTATCTTACCCAGGAATACATCTTACTGGGGATGTATCTTACCCAGGGATACATCTTACTGGGGATGTATCTTACCCAGGAATACATCTTACTGGTGATGTATCTTACCCAGGAATACATCTCACTGGGGATGTATCTTACCCAGGGATACATCTTACTGGGGATGTATCTTACCCAGGGATACATCTTACTGGGGATGTATCTTACCCAGGAATACATCTCACTGGGGATGTATCTTACCCAGGAATACATCTTACTGGTGATGTATCATACCCAGCAATACATCTTACTGGGGATGTATCCTACCCAGGGATACATCTTACTGGGGATGTATCTTACCCATGAATATATCTTACTGGGGATGTATCCTACCCAGGAATACATCTTACTGGTGATGTATCATACCCAGGGATACATCTTACTGGGGATGTATCTTACCCAGGGATACATCTTACTGGGGATGTATCTTACCCAGGGATACATCTTACTGGGGATGTATCCTACCCAGGAATACATCTTACTGGTGATGTATCCTACCCAGGAATACATCTTACTGGTGATGTATCATACCCAGGGATACATCTTACTGGGGATGTATCTTACCCAGGAATACATCTTACTGGTGATGTATCTTACCCAGGAATACATCTTACTGGTGATGTATCATACCCAGCAATACATCTTACTGGGGATGTATCTTACCCAGGAATACATCTCACTGGGGATGTATCTTACCCAGGAATACATCTTACTGGGGATGTATCCTACCCAGCAATACATCTTACTGGTGATGTATCTTACCCAGGAATACATCTTACTGGTGATGTATCATACCCAGCAATACATCTTACTGGGGATGTATCCTACCCAGGAATACATCTTACTGGGGATGTATCATACCCAGGGAATACATCTTACTGGGGATGTATACATCTTCACTGGGGATGTATCTTACCCAGGGATACATCTTACTGGGGATGTATCTTACCCAGGAATACATGTTACTGGGGTGTATCTTACCTGGTCTGGGGATGTATCTTACCTAGGGATGTATTTGTTGGTTAAGGAGTAGAAACAATTGTACACTTCTCCTCGTCCCAGTTTCTGAGACAACAAAGGTTGCAAGATATCTAGCCAGCCATTTTCTGATGTGTACTTTTCATTCCTAGATTTTGAGAAGAATGTTGCTATGGATTCCAGATCACTGACAATCGACACTTTATCTTCTTCTTCATTGCCAAGTTTATCTGTCAACAGAATTTTAATAATTTATTTAATTTTTTTTATTTTTTTAGTGATTTATTTCATTTTTTGAAACCTGGAGAAATCAAAAATAATATCTTCTGTTCTTTTGCTATTGATTAGTAAAGCATCATAATATATGTTACATTAAAATGTGTTTTCTTTAATTTGACATTAAAATGTGTTTTCTTTATTCTAACATTAAAATGTGTTTTCTTTTAATGGATATCAATGCAGTACATACCAACAAGTGTGCGACAATCCTCTCTCACAAGTCCCTGTTCTTCCATATCATAAAGGCCATCAAATGTCCCCATACTGTCGCCTTTGTTCTGTACATTCAGGCATATCTAAAGCGATCCAACAGAAGTGTTCATAACAGAAAAACTAGTCATAAGTGAGATAACTACAGTTTATCAAGGGCGATAACTACCGCAAATCAAGGTAGATAAAGATTATCAAGGAACTGAATCAGATTTTTTTCTGGCAATAGTAAAACATTGAGACAGATCTCAAGGCTTGCAGGTTACTCTTGACTGTAGGTGATTTCAGATGTCAAATAAAATTACCCACAAATCTGGATTCAAAATACTTGTCAAACAGATATACCATTTTAAACCGAAGTATTTAATTTAGGAGAGTCTTAAGCTGATCTATTGAAAGTCCTAACATTTTGACTCCTGATCTACCAATATGAGAATTTCAACTGTCATTTATTAAGTTTTTTATGTTGTCATCTTATATAAATCTCCAGTGGCCTCCACAGGCACACATTGCTGGGTGTGGCACCAGTGTTTATTCTATGTCTTCCCAAATAAATTTCTCAGAGAAAAAAAACAGAACAAAAATGTCGCTATTGTTTGACATTGCCATTGTTTAGTTTGAATTATTGATCAACTTTTTTTTCTGATATCTGTCTTGCATTAATGAAACTGAAATAATATAAAGGTACAAATTTTAGTGATAATATTAACATTTTTCACACTGAATGCCATGTACTAAAATATGGCTATAGTACACTAATTGTTGTTACTGAATATGCACAGCAATTACTACTATCACTGAAGTCATCAGTGCACTATTTCATCTATACTGAACACCTATTAATAGCAATTATTTGTTGATAATGTACTAAAATTCCATCGGGCTAAATCAGGTCTGCTGAAAAACTGCACTAATCTAAATTGATAGAATTGAAATGCAAGCAAAATAGAAAAATTGAAAAAAATATATATAAAAAGTTACCAAAAAAACATAACATTCAAACAAACCATACTATGCTTGTCTTAGACAGCAGTCTGATAGTGAAGTTATTACAACAATACTGACCTGCCACACCTCTGCTCTCAGGTGATCTGGTACTGGACGACATTTACAGATGTTTCTGAGCGTCCCAAAGTCACATTCTTCTATCAGTGCTGTCTCCAGATCTGTGATCCTGTAATGACAAAACAGGATTAAAAAAAATACACAGTAAATTGTAACAGAGGTCAGCTTTGAACCTGTGACCTCTGCTTTACACAGTAAATTGTAACAGTGGTCAGCTTTGAACCTGTGACCTTTGCTTTACACAGTAAATTGTAACAGTGGTCAGCTTTGAACCTGTGACCTTTGCTTTACACAGTAAATTGTAACAGTGGTCAGCTTTGAACCTGTAACCTTTGCTTTACACAGTAAATTGTAACAGTGGTCAGCTTTGAACCTGTGACCTCTGCTTTACACAGTAAATTGTAACAGTGGTCAGCTTTGAACCTGTGACCTTTGCTTTACACAGTAAATTGTAACAGAGGTCAGCTTTGAACCTGTGACCTCTGCTTTACACAGTAAATTGTAACAGTGGTCAGCTTTGAACCTGTGACCTTTGCTTTACACAGTAAATTGTAACAGTGGTCAGCTTTGAACCTGTGACCTTTGCTTTACACAGTAAATTGTAACAGTGGTCAGCTTTGAACCTGTGACCTTTGCTTTACACAGTAAATTGTAACAGTGGTCAGCTTTGAACCTGTGACCTTTGCTTTACACAGTAAATTGTCACAGAGGTCAGCTTTGAACCTGTGACCTCTGCTTTACACATTAAATTGTAACAGAGGTCAGCTTTGAACCTGTGACCTCTGCTTTACACAGTAAATTGTAACAGTGGTCAGCTTTGAACCTGTGACCTCTGCTTTACACAGTAAAGTGTCAGTCTGTGACCTCCGCTTTACTAGTCTTCCACTCCGTCTAAAAGGACATTTTCTTCTGCTAGTCTAGCAGTAAGTTGCTGTTATTATTCACTAGGATTTTATACTGCCTCTCCATGAAAAAGCTCAAGTTTCTAGAGGTTACAGCGATAAAGCATTAAAGAAAAATGATGTAGTACCTGTTTTGTTATTCAATATAAAAAAAAAATATGGAATAATTATTCATGGGGTTTTTGATAGGGAGATAAATCAGCATATTTTACACACAGAGTGAAAACTTGACTTTGTTGGCCCCCGTGAAAACTTCAATCATCAAACAGAACTAACAAAGGGCAAATAAATGTAAGCAAACATGCCATACCCACTCCACTTATCACATCTACTTCTGTCACACATTTCACTTTCATTGCATGGTATAATTTTTTGACAAAGAGACATCAAGCTGTAACTGCACTTGTGACCTGAATCTGAATCAAAGAGATGCTTATCTGCAGACAACACAATGAGTGAATGACCCCATATTGGATTCACCTGCTATAGAATTTGTTACTGCAGTCTTATATAGAATTTGGGGAATACTACCCTTTGGATATGTGGAAAAGGGAAATTTTGGGCCTGTTTTGAGAAATGGAGAAATTTTCTGACAGCCTTAATTCAAAAGAGGGATAAGATCAAAACAAATGGCATACATGCAGATGATAAAATAGAACAGTGTTGTGGTTAGAGTGGTATTTTGTTTGCATGATTTGAAAAAAATCTGATGTTAAAATATACCAATTAGCTTTTTGTTTTGGGAAAATTTCTTGATGTTTCCCATATATTTTCTTGATGGGGAATTTGTATAAAACCTGGCAATGACTTAAAGGGACTAAATGGTGGGATTTTTTGTTTCTTTTGATGTGTTTGATTGTGGGCAAGTGTGTAATACTTCAAATAAGAATATTCACAAAGTCATTGCATCTTTTGAAAAAAATCAATAAAGATTATCAGCTTCAAACTAACAGTGGTAGACATTTGCTGTTATGTCTACCACCAATCGCTGTTCTGATCGGAGATAGTAAATTCATCATGCAACCTTTCAGAACCTCATTTTAAACGGCCACCTTACTATTATTTCTGAATTTTCCCACATCATGCATGTGCAAAGACATTGTTCACACTCTTTGAAGGATAATTAGGGTTGGGTTGCTCATATTTTATTTTTTGTATTTTTTAATATAATGGTAATGCAAACTTTTAAATAACATGATTATAAGAAAGTGCCTGACTTTGAATAGATACTTAAATGTTATAATGCTTTTTATCAGTCATGAAATGAAAATCTAATCATTTATCCCTTTAAAGTTGATCAAACCTTCAGTGATGCCATCCAGAGCTTAGTTATGTCTTACAACATGTTTCTTAACTTTTTCTTTGGAATTAACATTTCATCTTATATCAGAATTTAAACAGAACATATGAAACAGGCTGAAGTATTGGTAACAAATTCCTGAAGAAAGGTCTGAGGCTAGGCCATGTCAGTACTTTTCGAAGTGAAAACTGTGTACTGTGGTAAAATTGAATGGTGTGTAAATGAATGATAAGTTATTATTGTATTTCGATACTGTAAGACTGGTGCATTGACCAGTAAAAAACATCTATATTGCTCTGGAGTTGCACAGATAATGGAGATGAGTGAGGACTTCCAAGTGTTCCCAGAATCTTCCAAACATAAACATCAATGTCAGCAACATAATCGATTATAATTGGAAAAAAGGTATGGAGAGATATGTTTTTCTATTTCTTTAGTTTAACATATAGTTGTCAAAATCTCAATGGAAAATGAAAAAAATGGTTGATTATTCCATGAAAGCTATAAGATTAAAGGACAAAACCTTGATTTTGGAGACAATTTTGTCAAACAGACCAGATTTTACAACGAAACTGGCAATCAGATTTTTCATTGTCAAATCATGCATGATTTTGGTAATTGTTATGAATCACTTCAATAATATTTATAAATGCATATATTTATTATGTTTTATAGAGAATTAATTGGAAAAAAAACTTCAAAATTCAAAATCTGGATCAGCAGTTCCTCTGTATGTATCTATATGGTAGTAAAAGTGATGTAATAGTATGTGTTTTATACGCGTTTATTTTACTGTAAGTATATATATCTACCATTAAAATAGAAGTTATTTAATTGAGTTTTACCCTTAAATGAATATGTAAATGAATGGAACTCGCTACCAGAGGATATTGTACCAGCACCATCACTCAGCGCCTTTGAGAACAGGCTGAATAAACTCTGGAGAGACGGGGTTCATAATATCAGTATAAATAATTCCTACGTACCGACCAGAAGCGACCATATCAACTAACAATTAAGACGAAGGATTTGGATCTAAACATAGGGGCCTATAGGTCTCAGTTCACTAAGTAAGTAAATCTAAAGGGATGGACTGCCTCAACTCATTTCTCAACTATTTTTTCGATCTGCACGAGAGAATCCTGACCTATCTGTTCCCATTCGCAATATGAATATATAAAGTGAGAGTCAGATCTGACTATGCTTAGGCCTGTAGTACAAACTGTACATGAAAAATGGATTTATATGTAACGTGTCCCTGTGCCTCAAGCCAAGGATATCTAACGTCACATTTGAAGTTTGGTACGATAGCTATACATTTCTGGTGCTAGCTTTATCTGTGTTGCTTTAATTATAATATTTTTAAAATACAAATCGATGTCAGTGATTCATCCTCAGTTGTCAACTCCAGCCTCAGATTCCTAACAAGTTGATTTGAGTTGAGATGTGAAACACTGCGACATTTCCAAAGAATGTGCAATAATGCAATGCCTTTACCAGTTATCAGGCAATACGTTACGTTAAAATTGCATTGACTCAAGTAGCTTTCAAACGAAACAAAATAAACAATAAAATTTCAATCTGCATGAGATAATTAATATTTACCAGCTCGTATCGTCAACAGACTCCGCCATCTTGTGAAGTTTGACGTGTATACCGTAAAGCGGAAAGCCATGTCGTAAATTCGGAAGTCATTCACAAAAAAAATGTGTTATTTTATTTTTCGATTGTCATCGATGTTCTCATCGTTTCCTTGTTAATAAAATATATATCAAACACATAAATACGCAGTATTAATGTCAGCACTTGCAATTTATAATGCCATTCATATTTTCATTCATAATGTGTATTACCTTATTCTCAATGGATATTGCGACGGGCGGGGATTCCCCAATCGGACTACTAAAAATAAGGTAAATTTAACCAGGAAGCCAAAATGGCGAACAGAGGAAAGAACGCCCCGACCAAAAATTTTGGGGGCGTGATAGGACTTCTTCAAGGGGTCCTCGCTCCTCCTAAACTTGTTGTTGACAAAAAGACTATAGAAAAATCATGGAAACTTATGGACAAAGTCGTCAAATTGTGTCAGCATCCTCGAATGAATTTGAGAAACAGTCCTCCATTCATTCTCGACATTTTACCTGATACGTATCAACACCTACGACTTATATATAGTAAGCACGACGATCGTTTACAGACACTGAATGAGTGCGAATATTTTAGGATTTTTATCGAAAACCTGATGAACAAGTGCAAGAACACGATAAAATTATTTAAAGAAGGAAAGGAAAAAATGTTCGATGAGAATTCACACTACAGGAGAAATTTGACTAAACTTTCCTTGGTGTTTTCACACATGTTGGCTGAATTAAAAGCCCTTTATCCAAGTGGAGTTTTTACAGGTGAAAACTTCAGGATAACAAAAAGTGATGCATCCGATTGGTGGAAAAAGTCATTTGGAGATAAGTAAGTATGCAATATTTTTTGTGTTAACAGAATCATGTTGCAGACTTAACCTTTGGAGAATCAAAGATAGTTTAATGTGCATAGTCTAGCTTATTAGCTAAGTAACTAGCTGCCTTTAAACACGTGTCAAAGGTTTATGTAACATGCTATGATAAATTTGGTTGTATTTTGTGACAGTGGTATACACTCCTTACAATACACATACTGACATAGACTTGGCAGGAGTCTCCTACAACCGGAAGTCGGTCATTAATCTACCCAGACCACTTGTGTATATGTAGGCTGAGTGCATTTGGCAAGATTTATCCCCAGGGATATCACCATACACCTAAGCCCACAGGCCCTGTTCAATAGTTCTTGTATGCAGCAAAGCATGATCATATAGCAAGGCTTTAAATTTCATGAAACATGGTGATTTAATGTTATACAGTGGTGTATCTAAAAACATCAACCAAAGACAACAGGAAAATATCTTTTAAATACTCAATAATGTTAGCAACATCAAATGATTCATTCTTGATATGACCATGTTAAACCTATATACCAAATTTCTCGTTGGTGTTTGAAAATATTGGAGAGTTGAATTTCCTTTGATTGTCGGTGGTACATGTGTATTGTGTATCACACTTAGTGAACAGCATCTTCTAACTATATACCTTAAAGTGTTTAATAAAATTAGCAATATCAAAAAACATGTTGTTAGTATGATTGTTATACATTAATACAGCAATAAACAAAGTAATAATCTATTTATTGATTTGGTGTGTGAATCAGTGATATTCTGTATATGTAGAAAAATATTTAATAAATTCTATGTATGTCACAGTAAATAAAGTGAATCCAATTTAGATACAGTACTTTATTGCCCTGATTACAGACCAAGTTAAATATATGAACATGAAGCAAAAATCTTGAAATGTACAGAAATCCAGCCATAGTTATATTTTCATAAATGATGTAGTAGAATATAGTATATTGAAATAGATGTTACAATGAATATTGCTGAGTCATTACATTCACCAACTCCGAGTTGGGTCAATTACTGTAATATGTATCATGTACACACAGACTGTTGAGGATGTGTCCTTGATGTCATATACTGACAGTTTGCTCTGTCCACTGAATGCACAGAAATTTCATTACAATACACTCTTTGCATTCAGAACTTCCACACCTCACGCCTGGACATGTAGACAAGATACTTCCATATATGGACAAACATACACTTCCTAACAGGTAACAGACACCATATATGGAAGTACACATCAAAGTATAGACAGTAATTTATACTATAAACAGATGGGATCAATAGTCGTAGAGACTTGAGACAATAATATCAAACAAAATAACAATCATGTATACCAATTAACCTATATTTTGATTCCTGTGACATATAATTAGTATAATATGCTGACTAGCACCTGATCCTACAGATTTTACATATATATGCATACATACAATATTTGATGATATTCGTTTCCATGTTTTGGTCAGTTTAGGACATATTTAGGCTGTTTAGTCTTGAATGATTTGATTTGGGAAACAATTTGCTTTGTCAGGGTGGTCTAATGGTATTGGTTGCACGTCATAAAAATATTTGTTGAAAGTTTTTAATAGCGGTAAAGTCAGGGAGATGGGCAATCCTGTAACTACCCAACTGTTGTTAATGAAGAAACACAACCAGCACTTTTTTCCCCACTCATTTGGGAAAGGACCTTTTTATCTCAATTTGGAAAGAAAATTTATCAATTGCAAAGGAAACTCTACAGAGTAAATGATATCAGGAACTTGACAATATTATGAAATAATTCAGATGGGGTCCATACTTTGTATTTAGCCCTAATTTCCAAAAATGCAAAATGTGTGAAAGCTGTATGGTATCAGTGAGTATAAGTTGTTTCACAATTATTGTAAAATAGATAAAAAAATGTGTACATCCGCCACAAAACCACTTCTAATGAGTCTATGACTTGGTTTGTTTTTCTCTAAAAAACTTTGCATAATTATGTTAATTAACAGATTCAGTTATTGTGTCACATGTCAATATATACATTATGTGTTATGATAAACAGACCATATTTATCATCCAATAAACCATTTTTTTTAATGTTTTTTTTGCACTCAATTTTGTATTGTGAACAGCCAGGATCATTTTAAGGTGGGGGCTCCTTGTAGTAGTGGGTGGCGCAGTAGTAACATGCTCACCTTTCATCTAGCCGTCAAGGGTTGGGTTTGATTCCCGGGATGAATGTGAAAAGGTATGAGGTCACCTACCCGACCACGTGGGTTTTCCCCGGGTACTCCGGTTTCCTCCCACACTAAGACCCCTTGTGCGCTTTTATCCAAGCCAACAAGAGTGATTAATATAAGTTGGAAAAACTTGCTTCGCAGTTGTTGTAAAATCTTTAGTAGTGGATGGCTACCTTACTGAATAATATAAGGGAGGCCCATCATAGTCTTACCCAAGAACACATGTTAGCACAGACCTGTGTGTTTCAGCTTCCTGAGAAACACAGGCCACCACCTGTAGAGAAATTCGAACAAAGTACTTGGGATCTTCACCTAAGGTCACGAAGGTCAACACTAACCAACTGAGTGATAAACGGACTCCTCATTTAAACCATGACTGGTAACAAGCCCACACAAAAAAAGGACATTTCATTTTCTTATGAAAAGCCCATCCCTGAATTCAAGAAGAAATGTGTGAAGTAATGTAACTCCTGTCTCCACCCCCTCCCAAGAATTATAAAAAAAACTACATATATATATATATATATATATATATGTGGGTAAAGTTATAGTTTCTAACCCAAAACAATAACAAGTTAAAAAAAGAGAGAGAAAGTTGTGTTCTTACACTGTTGATGTGAAGTAACACCAGTTCTGTCTACAGGAATAATAACATATGTTTACATAGTCTACACAGAAGATATGTCTGTGTTTCAAACACATTCCATCCCTTCATAACCATTGGACTTACCCATCATGAACCAGTTGGAGCCTACCACTATATATTTAAGGGAAGCAAAATAGATATTGACCCAATTTTCCATTCCAGAGTTATCTATAATAGCTGAAGCCTCTGTATCTGAGGAGGGATGGTTTTCACTCCAGGCCATTAACATGTTGTTGGTATTTGTGTGATGTAAGTAGTGTTAATATTCCTCAATACAGTGTAAAACTCAGAGGGGTTCTTCAGAGGGGCTTGTGCTAACAAGTGCCATGTAAAACTCAGAGGGGTTCTTCAGAGGGGCTTGTACTAACTAGTGCCATGTAAAACTCAGAGGGGTTCTTCAGAGGGGCTTGTACTAACTAGTGCCATGTAAAACTCAGAGGGTTCTTCAGAGGGGCTTGTACTAACTAGTGCTATGTAAAACTCAGAGGGGTTCTTCAGAGGGGCTTGTACTAACTAGTGCCATGTAAAACTCAGAGGGGTTCTTCAGAGGGGCTTGTACTAACTAGTGCCATGTAAAACTCAGAGGGTTCTTCAGAGGGGCTTGTACTAACTAGTGCCATGTAAAACTCAGAGGGGTTCTTCAGAGGGGCTTGTACTAACTAGTGCCATGTAAAACTCAGAGGGGTTCTTCAGAGGGGCTTGTACTAACTAGTGCTATGTAAAACTCAGAGTGGTTCTTCAGAGGGGCAAACACTGTCTTTATAAAGTGCCAATGTCTAACCTTGGGGAGTTCTTGAGAGGGGTTAGTAAAAGTGTTGTGTAGAACTCGGGTGAGAACTACAGAGGGGCTTTTGTACTGAAACTATGTAAAACGTTGAGGGGTTCTTTAGAGGAGTCACAGTACTAATGCCATGTAAAACCAAAAGGAGTCCTTCAGCAAGGCTATAAAACTAGTGCCATGTAAAACCCAGAGGGGTTCTTCAAAGGGATTACTGTACCTTGTAAACTCAGAAATGTTAGTACTAGTACCGTGTAAAAAATGGAAATCAGATTGGTATTTTGGGACACAACTCCAAACACTAGTTTATTACAAATGCTTGTCGTTCTGTTACCATATTGCATAAAACAAAATATGATATATTGGTATTCTGAAATAAAATGAAAATATAGATTTATAAACAACCAAATCAACATCTGTTTTTTAATTACAAAGTTATCACTGTGTGTTTCACCGGTCGATGGCCCTAATGACCTTTAATGTGTTGACTGGCTGTTAAGATGGTAGTATTAATAATCAATTACAAAGTATGTTTTGGTGCTGTTCCTTTCTAATCAATTCATTTGAAGAAAGTTTATAAAATTTCTTAGAATGTACGAAAATACTCAAAATGAACGATATGTGGCAAAACTTCTATCGCCAGAAAGCGGTACTGGTCACGTTATAGTTCCGCATTCAAAACTTCATCAAAATGCGTTGCCATTTCAGAATCTTTATTATTTTCTATTTTCACTATAATCTTATAAGATACTCTCCATTTACATTTTTCTATGAGAAATTATCACAAATCAGGATTTGACTAAACACTCTGTTGTATCACTATGCCATATATTGAAATGCCAGTGGGAGAAATACTGAACAGTGAACGTGTTTACATGAGGCAATATATCCAAATCTTGCATTTTTCACTCAATTTAAGGTAAATCTTTTTGTGGTCCAAATAATATTAGAATTCCTAAGCTACCTCTTGTCCTGGTACATATAAATTGGTCACAAGGAACTCTTCCATATAGTTATCCATCAAAACAGGTGTCTCCTCGCGAATCGTCTTCGATAAAACGAAAATGTGTTGGGCCTATGCTCTTGTATTCATTTTTTTGACATCGTGGCTTGCATATATTGTCACCATTTTGTTTTTGTGAGATTAGAGTTTATTTTCGTATATAGTCGTGCTGGAGATCAGATACCAGGTAGTCTATCTGTAACACTTAGAACATCCCCGATTTTTACGCTTAAAAGTTCATGCATATTCCATATTATCTATTGAGTAATGAGCATAATGTAAATGCTGTTTTAGAAAATATGGAAGTTGTGAAATAAAGTTCT